GGCCAAAGTGAGGGGTTTTATCAAAAACTAATGTTCGGGAGGTATAGCTAATTTTCAACGAGGAATCCAAAAATGCAATTATTTTGGGGATGAGGGGTGAGGTTTACCCACTTTGGGGTAGTTTTCTACTTTTTTCACATTTTGACCCCTGCCCTTCGAACTGGGGCAACATGGGGGGCCAACACTATGTGCCAATGGAATCTATAGGATCAGGCGCAACTTCCGTGGGATATAACCTATTTGCCCATTTGAGTTTTAAGGGGTGAAAAATGCGTCGAAAATGTTGGGGGTGAGATTTTTTAACTTTCAAAGGCGAATTCAGGGCAGAAGAGAGGGTTTTTCGGGAAAAAAATGTTCATAGCCTAGGGCTAATCTTCGTTTTTAATTGTACTTTGAATTAAAATTTAGATTCAGCCCAAAAATGGCCGATAACGTAATGTTTTTGGACGAAATCAGTAAAAAAGTAAAAAAAAAACGTCCAAAAATCTAGAAAAATGCTGATAACTTTTGAACCGTATGACAAATATCGATGATTTTTATATGTAAATTGATCAGAATGAGCTCAGCTTTCCAACGGTTGTCAAATCAACTTGATCCGATCAATAGTTTTTGAATTATGGATGTGAAAATGAAATTGACACTTCATAGGTGCGCAAAATACTTACAGGAAAAAACTTGCAGACTCGATTTTAACGATAGAGGTATGGTTCCTTGGGCAAATTTTCTTGGAATGACCCACAGAACACGGAAATCATAGGTATTTGGTCGATTTTTTTCACTCCCTACAAATCGACTCGCCCTATTCTTGAATCACACACCGTTTCGTTTCAATGGTAATCAAAATGCAAAACAAGAACATTTTTTCTGTGTTATTAGCATCAAACTCAAACACAATGCGCTGTTGTATCAAAATCGATTTATTTCTTTCATTGAATTAGCCTAAAAACATCAACTATCGAGACAGTTTTGCGAAGACAATATTATTTCAGCGTGTACGTTGATTTCATCGAAAAATACTAACGGCACTGTAATTATCATATAAAATTAGAATGATAGTTTGACACATATCAAAATGAAAATAGGCAAATCCATGAAATTGTGAGATTGTACCTAAGGATGCCGCAACAGATATTTTCCAACGTTTCCAACGACGACGACAACGACAGAATAAAGAGCAAACGCAATTCAAAATTCATGTGGGATTTAAAAAGATAATTTGATATTCCCGTTTCTGGTGAACAAATAAACAATGGGGCTCAGTGGAATTGATTTATAGTGCAGCCAACGCAGAGCGAAGAGTGAGTAAAAGTTCGATTCCATAAAATGAACTTATCGGATTTAGTCGATCCAAATGTTTGTGTGTGTTCTTCACTTCAGTATGAACAATGTCTTGAAGAAAGAAAGAAACAAAAAAAAACTCGTTCGATGTGTAATTGTATCGGGCACACACCCAAATATATATAGCTCTATTGGAATTGCGTTTTTTACTCTATTTATTTTCCCAAGTTGTTATTGACCATGAATGAAGATTCATTGAACACATGAACATGATTATTGTTGTAGTTTCAAACATTTTTCTCTTCGTATTGGGTTCTTCATTTGAATAGCAACAATATCATAGCAAAAAGTTTAATATATAAATTCAAACTATTAGTTTTATTGTTGCACTGTCGCTGATATAAGTCTAGCGCCTCATGTTATTGGCATTGCAATACAAAACTCCAATGGATCATCATTGAGTTAATTCCATCTCCACTGTGGTATATACTGTGACAAAATTGGAATGAATAAATTATTTATTGATTTATTTGTAACAATGGGCATTTCAGTGGGTTTTCTTACACCTCTCAAATACAGACAGTCCTTTTGCCCATGATTGAACTGTACTTGTACTTATTGCCTATGTAAAACTCATAGTATGTTGGTCATCTTTGACCAATTGAATTCACTTTCCGAAATCTCATCAATAAATGCAAAAGCGTAATAGAAAATTTAGACAGCAAAATGTGTTCACTAGATCCCATTGTTTCTCACTGGTTCGATCCAATTCTCTGAAATCCCATGACCATTGCATGCGAAACGTAATGCACAAACTTGGAAATGACCTAAATTACAAGGCGACAGAGCGGAGTAGAGATATAGAGCTGGGTTTTATTTATTTCTCTGTATTCGGTGAACAACATACATACATTGACAATTCACTCTCCATTATTTATAAAGAATCGATTGAATGGCGTCTAGCGTTCGATGGCATTGTTTGCATAACTGCAATCAACAATAAATTCTACAATTGAAATAAGAATCAATAAAATGATGGTTTGAATAGTTAATGATATTTTTTTTCAAATTCTATTTCAATGGATTTCGAAAATATTTGTCTTCTTCTTGTCGGTGAAATGAAATTTAACAATAAAAAAAACGATTGAAAATTCGTAAAAAACTAGGACACCAAGTCGTCTTGTTCGCATCGAAACCAGGTGAATAGATGATTTTCCAGAAAATTCAATGAATCCACCGAAGTCAAACCAAAGTAATGCTTCTGAAACAATGAATTTGCGCTTTTTCTCATCTTTCTTTGTGTACGTGTTGTTTTTTTCCCCTATTGTTTGAATGTTGGTCGAAAACGAAACGTTGGATAATTGCGTTAGTTGTATCGCTTGAAGAAAAAACTGGAAAAATCGATGGTTGAATAGTGAGTCATACGTCGGGTTGTTGCCATTGCAACCGAACCGTACACAACGGACTAGCACATTTAATAAGCGGTCGAAGTTTTGGCTACCCAAGGAACAATTGTTAACGCAAATACATCCATTGCCAAGCGTATGTAAACGGTTGAATTTGGGCCCACATTTGGGTGTAGTTTCAGTCATTTTTAACGTCACAATGGAAGTAGAAAAAGAACAGTAAAAACAAATCAATTAGAATGATATAAAAACGATTATGAATCAATATTCAATATGCTAATGAATAGTGATACTCACCTACGAGGTATTTTATATGATCCGACTAAGCCCCGTACTTCGGACAAGGCCACAATACTCAAAGCCCAGCAAAGTAACAAAACGTTACAATTATTATTGTTTGAAAACTTAATCCTACATCAACTAAAAACTATTCTTCATCGGACACGTCGTCGAGAACGTAAACGTAATCATCGTCGCTGTCGCTATCGTTGTCATCTTGGTCGCCTTCGGCATTGTTCTGCGCGGCTGCAGCTGCTGCATGATGTTGTCTCGACAGTTGCGGATGCACATCCAAGCCCTTTATCATACAAAGACCTGAAACAACCGAAATCACAAACAACAATTGTTAGCCAGAATATTTCACTTTTTTTTTCAATGTATGATACATACCTTTGTACAATATGCACTTGGCAGCGACTTCATCCCGATGCCAAACAGTGTTCTGTTGATGTGGATGACGTGAATCGTTCCATGTGTTATCAGTGTTTAGCTGCCAGTTTTTGAACCATACATTGAGTTTCGGCACTAAACCATGTGAATACACTGGATGTACATTCAATCGTTCATATTCCGCAACAACATGTCGTCGCTCTCGTTGATACGACCGGTTGCTTTTCTTGCTGATGATCACACTGCTCAGGTGTTTGTCAGTCGTGATGTTTGCTGCATGTGGAATGCACTGACGGCAGACTTTGTAGCGGTCCTTTTTTGTACGTCGATCAAATGGCCGAAAGCACTTTGCACACGTCTGCGATGTTTTGTACTCGTCAACCATCACCACCACACAATTGTGCAGTTTCTTGAAGCTGTTCAGTAGTTTCCGTACACCAGGGCACCGCAACCGTTTCTTAATACCAATTGGCGAATTTGGAGCCATTTGAGCTGCACCAAGGAAAATGAGCGATGGTAATTTTCTGGTCAAAAAAGCAGCGATGGTATCACTTGCACGGGTCTCCTCGATATGTTTATCGAGATTGAGGCGAATGTATTTGCGTGCTGTGTAAACCTCCATTCCAGGCTGCAACATTTTCCCACGATGTTCGATGTAACTCATCCAATTTGAGGCTCCCTTGGGCGATGGATAGAATGGATATTGATTCCGGTCATGTTGCTCCAATTCGGTGAACAATCGTAGCCATTTTTCCGATTTGCGCTTTCGTTTGCCATATTTCGCTCGAAAATGGTATTTCGGACCGTCGATCGTGATGTTTTCTTGTGTGAAATAAATAAGAACAAAGAATCATGATTATATGCATATAAAAGAAATGACTGACAAAACAAACAAACAAATCAAAAAAGAAAAATAAGAAAAAAGAACAAAGAATCATGATTATATGCATATAAATGAAATGACTGACAAAACAAACAAACAAATCATTGTTACTCACTTCCACACCGGATGCGATATGTTTTCGCACCGTGGCATTCCAGGTTCGCACACCAGGATCCATGCCAAGCACGAAGCGGAAAACACCATTTTCGTACATTTCGTTGATTTGCTCGTGCGAATATTCGTGTGAGGGGCATTCTGGCTTCAGGAAACACAACGAAACAGCCACACTATCCGTCACGATTGTGTAGTCAAATGTCTTGCGATTGCCGACTTTCTGAATCTTGTCCATGTTGAATATTGTGTCTCAGGACACAAATGGATTGCTGTCGTAGACCTTTTTCGAAATGTTAACCGGCTGGCCAAACAATCCTTTTGCCAACTTGATGGCACCCAATTTGCACGCCATTTGATAGAACAGGTGAATATCGATCCGGATGTGCTTCATCTTGAAGTCATGAATCGGAATCACACGAAAGTTTTTTATTCTCGGTGGGCGTGCAATGGATGGCATGGCGTTGTGCAATCGATCCCGATGATATCGGCGCCAGAGATCATTCAAGAGCTCGTATCTTTCATGGTGGTTGAACACTAGCCGTTGAATGGTGATGAATATCGGTATCGTCTGGAACCAACTACCACGAACGAGATCACACAACTTCGTACCGACTGGTATTCCGATCATACGCGCTTGCTCGAGCAGCCGCTCCACATTCGCACTTGGCACTATGTTGTTGAACATAACTGCTTTGGTGGCATTTTTCACATCGATATCGCTGATGTTATGGCCAAGCAAATTGAGCTCATACCGTTGCAGCACGAAAAACGTTTTGATACGGGTGTAGCTATACGTTTTGATGTTGTTCTTGACATTGGTGGTGTATTGATCAATGAGCTGATTGAATGCGTTTCCCATGCCTTCACGTTGTGGCCATCGGAAGTTCGGCACTGCTGTTTCGATTATTTGGCGGAAGGCCAACGGCAATTTGTGTCGGTTCTCGTTCAAAATGTTCTTGAAGCAATCCTTGATCAATTCGTATCCATTGCCTCTGAAGAAGTCATGGTTATCTTCATCGAATGCTCGGTTGTTCTCGAAGAGAAACAACAATGACGCCAAAACGGTGATGACGGTGGCTGTGTGGCACCAATTGGTGACTTGTGCCACAAAATTCGCGCGATATTGATCCCGGAGAACCGAATTCAGCGATAGTTTGACCGATCTCGGTCGCCCGTTCTGGGCCCGCTTTCTCTTCATGCTCACCAAATTTGATCTAATGAAAATGAAAATGAAAATGGTGAACAAATTGATTAGAATTATTGCACTTTCGATCAAACACTGACTAAATTAACAATTTGTTTTGGAGAAACAATCAATGAACCATCAATACAACAATCAACTTGCCTCAACGAATTCTGACACCAAACTGACCATGCAATGCTGAAAATCGAATATTGTGCTCTTGTCGTTGTGCAAATGTCCTGTTAGTCAAAA